CACATATAGAAATTTTTTGATATTTGCAACCATAGTAAAACAAAGATTTATATTTTTGATATTTATTTTATATATTTAAATGCCATTTAACAAAGAAATATCAACCAAAAAAATGAGTTCGTGTGTCAGAGGTGACATAGGTTCGCCATCACTGGCCTAGAGCCTTGCTGAGTCAGCCTCTCCAAGCCCTACCCGTCAGCCTCCTGGGCCCTCCTGGCCCAGCCTTCCAGGGCCCCGGGGCCTCCACCTGCCCCAGAAACCCCTCTGACAGGCACAGCTGAGCCTCCCTGTCAAAGGAACACACACACACACACACACACACACACACACACACACACGGCTCTGGGATTCCGGGATCTCTCTCTTCCTCCTCACCAGGCTCCTGGTACATGATCTTTTCCCTGGCGACCTCAAGGGCTTCCGTGCCTTTAGCTCTACACAACTGGTCACACGTGACTGAGTCCAAGAGGCCAGGAGCCTGGCTGGCTTGGCCACCACGGTGTCTGGATTCAGCTGGAGCTGGTGCGGAGCCAGTGCCCCTTCACTTCTTGGGGAAATGACAAAACCCTCAGGGCCCAGTGGCCTGCGTGACAGCAGCTCTGTTCTTGGATGACCTTCGAAGGCTGGCAGGGAGCGGGCAGCCATGCGCCCCTCGCTCCTGGTGTTGGCGGTAAGTATCTGCTGGTATTCTTCTGACCCCCACCCCATTTCCTTGTGTAGGAAACACCCCACCTGGTGGCAGTTTGCGAGATGCTGCAGTGTGACAGCTACGGAGGAAGGCAGACACACAGGTGAGGCCTTTGCTGCAGTGGAGCTCATACCTCAGCTGCCATGGCAACCTGCTCCGCATTGGGGCTGGGAGGGCTCCCTGGGCCTGGAGTGTCCCGAGCCCCTCCGTGGGGTCTCTTTCTGAGGAGGTGGGGGGGTTGATTTCTAGAGGTCAGTGCGCCCAGGAGTGACCTGGAGGGACATTCCACATGGCATCTGGGCACACAATGCTGTAGCTGGCAGAGGGACCCAATCCCACTGCACCGCCCTCTGTGTTTTCAGTACTTTTAAAGTACGTAATTCTTCCTTAAGAAAAAGAAAATTTGGCCGTGTGTCTTTCATACTCATTTTTAACTTTAAGCATCTTTGTCACCGGGAGTCGAGTCCTCAGGAGCGTGTCCTGGTGAGGTCGGGGCGGGCCCGTCTGGGATGGGACAGGCTGCCGATCCACTCGGGTTGCCTGCTGGGAACTCCTCACTCTAGCCTCCCCCCACTTCCTCCTCACACAGGGGAGAGCAAGAGAAACCACGAGATGCAGACCACGGCAGAGACGGTCTGTCCGGCGTTTTCCGAACGGCGGGCGGCTGGGCGCAGTGAAATGAGGTGAGTGGGTCCGGACCAGCTCCTGGTGGGAAGGGCCAGCCCCAGGGAGATGTCAGAGAGCACGGCAGGCGGGAGGAGTGCGTTTCATGAAGTGTGTGTGTGGACGTTGGGTGCGGATGCGGGTGCTGCGGGGGCCATGGAGATGTATCCCAGTGGGTCCCCCCAAATAGGTTTCAAATGGAAAATGGGGGCTCGGAGATGCCGAGTGCCCCGCCCAGGGTCAGAGGCGGGTAGCGGCAGCGCTGACGGAAACTCCCGCCTCCCCTTCCCACTCTGCCCCCAGCCTCTGATGGGTGCCCGGCGCCTCATCCATGATTAGACCGTCTCCCATCACAAGGGACAGGTCTAGTCTCCTCCAGCAGAGCCAGGTGTAGCTTCCTGTGTACACGGCCATCGGTCCTTAGCAGCCTGTTGCTGGTAGCAATGGCTGCAGCCAGCAGACAGAAAAGCCTGGGAGATGGCCTAACAAAACTGCATTTCTTACAGGGCTCTTATGCTGACACAGAGCAGTGGGGCTTCAGTGAGCCTTCTGGAGCAGAGGTTAAATGGGTTTGGGGCATGTGGAGCCATATTATTCATGGCAAACAGTGAATGCTTGGCGCTCTCTTCTTTGTAGAGAATAGCTACACAACGCTGGCGGCTAACGCGGCTGCCTAAGGCCACCGACACTGCCCGGCCAGCAGCAGCAGCAGCGGTTCTCAGAGAAAATCCCTCATACGCTTTCCATCGGCGACGTCCTGGGCATCAGGAGGGCCGGCCCACCACCCAGACAGCCCCCGAGAGAGGGCAGTGTGCTCCTCAGGGTGCCGCTGGCAGCACCCCGTTCACCCTGTCCTCTCCATCCTGCTCCATCGCGGCCCCCTAGGCTGTGTGGCCACAGACTCCGCTTAACCTCTGCCCCTTCTCACGTGTGAGGTGGAGATGCTGTCCTGCCGGGTGGCTGATAAGACTGAGGTGAGTTTTTTCCCCCCCGCACGAACCATCAAGAACACTGTATGACTGTGATTCTGCGACATAATAATATATACATCAGTTCTCGTCCTCGGCTCCTGGCCAGAGCACCTCCCCTTTGTAATTTCCTTGGTGATCACGGTGCTGGAAGCATCTTCTGTTCGAACAGTTGGTCGCTGACCTGGGCTGAGCCTGGTTCCCGTCACAGAGCTCCTGAGTCCCTTGCCATTTCCTGGGTGACAGGAGCCTCTTTGGTCCTAAGGAGGGGACCCTGGGTGGGCTCCTGACTAGTTTCTGGAGGGGGCTGGTCACCAGAAAGACCAAGCCATGATTTCAGCCGCAGGCCCCAGCCGCTGGGGAGTGGAGAGAAGCTGGAGATAAATCAATCGTGCCCACGTGACGAAGCCGCCATAAAAGCTGTCAATCACAGCGTCCAGAGAGCTTCGGGTTGGTGAACACAGCACGTGCCAAGAGGGTGACATTCCACGGGGACAGGAGCCCCTGGGCTCGGGACCCCCCCAGACCTCCTGGGCACTCCTGGGAGATGGGAGTGGTTCCTGCGTTCTGTGAGCCATTCTAGCGAGTTATCACACCCGAGGAGGGGCCGTGAGAACCCTCAATTTGTAGCCTAGTCAACAGAAGTGTGGGTAACCCAGGGACCCACTGCTTGCAACTGCCTTCTGAAGTGGGGGCAGTGTTGTGGGGCTGAGCCCTGACCCTGTGGGACCCATGTTACCTCCACAGACAGTGTCCGCACTGAGTGATATTGTAGGACACCCCGCTGTGAAGGACCTGGCCAGTGAGGGGAAAAAGCACTTGGTGGCAGAAGTGGTGGTATGAGCAGCAGCGGGAAAAGGAAATAGCAGAGGAAAACATAGCACAAGAGAATGTTTGGTCTGTGAACATTCCAGAACCGGGGTCCTGCTGAGGGGAAGTAAGTGCCACGGGTCCCGGGATCTCGCAGGAGCCCTTTCAGAAGCTCAGGCGACCGGCTCCCAGCCCGCCCAGCCCAAGGGCAGCCTTCCCACCCACCTCCCCAGCCAACGGCGGGTTCACAGTGCGGGAACAGAGCTGCTGGGGCCAGGACAGCAGGGAGACCCGGAGGGAGCACCTCCCAGGATCTGCAGCTTAGAAAGAACTCGCTGCCTTGTCTGCACGGCAGGAAGGAGCCTAATTCGCTGAGCTCCCTCCTCGCCTGGCTGGAGGGGCGACTTCCGGTGCAGGGGCTGGTGCCTGGGTTAGTGAGCTATTGTTCGCTGAGCATTCTCACATCTGGGTGGCAGCTCACTCCTGGGCACTCCTACACTTCACAGCAGGAGCTGGAAATAGCACTGGTTTTCCCTTCCACTCAGCTCTGTATACAGCTCCTCCACGTGCCTCATATCTGAGTCATTCATTCTGCCCTGTGTGCGGGGCACCACCATGAAGGGGGTGGGGCGGCCTGTGCTGGCTCCGAGTGCTGCATGTGTAGGAATTTTATAGGCTGGTTGCTCCAGACAGCCAGTATTAAAAACTGTGATCTAAATTCAAAATTAATCAATTACATTAAAAGCAAGCGTACTAAATACTCAGCACGTATCACTTCCTAACTGCATCTCGCTGTCCTCCATGGTCTCATGGCTAGTTCTGATCACTCACTATTGCACTGGGATGGCGGAAACATCGTCCTGGGATGTGCTTCTGCCCATCCCCCAGCCCTGATGTGTACATCACAGACCCTGTGCTACTGCCCATCCCCCAGCCCTGATGTGTGCGTCACAGATCCTGGTCCAGGGCTGAGCTACTGCCCATCCCCCAGCCCTGATGTGTGCGTCACAGATCCTGGTCCAGGGCTGTGCTACTGCCCATCTCCCAGCCTGGACGTGTGCATCACAGACCCTGGTCCAGGGCTGTGCTCCTGTGGTCTCTTCCAAACCCCTGACATTTACAGCATAGAAACTGGCAACACCACACACAGGAGAGGCGGCTGTGCACAGCCTAGCAGCACACCACGGTGTAAGACCAGCCCAGAGAGGCCGCGGGGAGGGGTTACCTTGGCCGAGAACTTGAGGTGGACTTCTGCCTCGTCCGCCAGGCTCTTCTTCACCTGTGCCCACGCCTCTCCCAGGGAGCTGCAACAGGAAGCAGACTGTCAGACTCGGTGGCGGGGGGGGAGCCGCAGTGACCCGATGGAGGAGACCCCGGAGACCGGGCTTGCGTGAGGCAGAGGCCAGGCAGGCACAAAACACACTTGGGCACTGATTCAACCTGAGCCCCCCAAACCGAGCCCAGGAACTGAGAGAGCAGGCTGTAGCAGACTGGGAAATAGCCAGAAACCCAGAGAACTGGGGGAGCTACACAAAAGTGGGGTGCAGCAGCAGGGAGGGCCTCCAAGGCTGGCCGACCGCTCTCCCCATGCCTTCCCATCACCCCTCCCTGGTTTGTTGACGAGGCACAGGCACCTGCTGGGAAGTTACAGAGGGAGGACAAGTGCCCCTCAGGGAACAGTCCTGCTCAAATGGAAGGTACCACACAGTGCTCCCTGCATGCAGGCAAACCCCGGACAGCCTGGCTTCCAGGGCGGGTAAAGGGGGGCCCTCTGGGTCTAGGGAGCTCCTAGCGACGCCCACAGGCAGACAGGCTCTCCATCGGCAGCACAGGAGCGTGGCCCCGGCCGGTCCTGAGCCTGCACGTGAGGCCTGGTGCTGCACACAGCTTCACTGGAGAACGCAGAGGCCTCTCCACTCCGTCACTTCCCATGCCAAGATGCTCCAAGTAGAAGCAACTCCGAAGTCCCCAAGACCCTGCAATGCAGGCCCCAGGCTACACTCTGGTAATTTGCAACTCTTTAACCCTGGGACCTCTACACCCAGCCGTAAACCCAGCCAGTAAACCCAGCCAGTAAACCCAGGCTGACTTCCTTCCAACCAAAGGCCACTTCCCCGGGAGAATTCCTTAAACTCCAGTGGCAACAGCTGACTAACAGACATGGTGCTGCGCGGCCTCTGGGTTTGCAGTGGAGAAGCCAGCAGCTGAGAGCTACCCAGCACATCATAACGGGCTCCTCTGGTTCAGCCCAGGCCTGTCTGGCTGTGGTGCTGCCTCAGGCTGAGGTGGGTGTTCATGGGAAATGACTGACTGAGTTTATCTAGGAGCCTGGCAACAAAGAAAGTTCCGCTTGGGTGACCCCGGCTAGGGAGCCCACCAGAGACGAGATGGAGAAATGGGCAACCCACACTGCAGACATTTCTCTCTGCCTCACGGGTCTGAGCTCCAGGGAGCTGTGGGGGCAGCTCTGGGTGGCGGCTCCTCACCTGACCTGGGAGGCGGGAAGGGGGTCCTGGGCAGGGGATGGAGGGGGTGGAAGCAGACATGGTGGTCATACAGATATGGGAATAGAATACCAGGCCCAGAAACAGACTCAGATGCGGGGGACTGATGTGCCACAAGAATGTCTAATTATCTCAAGGGAGGAGGGACAGCCTTTTAACAAACGGTGCAGACACAACTGTACAACCACAGGGGACACAAGGCCTCTTGACCCTGAGCTCAGGCCATACGGATGGGTTCTCTCAGGCTGCATCACAGACCTGGGGTGAAGGTCAGCACTCTACCAGCTACGGAAGCAGCCCCGGGAGAAGTGGGAGTTCCTTCGAGGCTGACGGGAGGGGTTCGGCCCCGCAGCTGAGCTGCATGTGAGCCTGCAGACGGTGAAACGAGCCCACAAGCCGAAAGGCGTGGGCAGCCCTGAGGACGTGCACATCCCCCACCAGCAGGGCACGCGGTCAGTCACTGGCGCGGCGGCAGCTGCAGTGGCCTGAGCGTGTCATCCGAGGCCACTGGGAGGGCAGGAGGAAGCACAGTGTCCGGATCAGGCCCAGGCTGTCTGGCTCAGTGGTTGCACACTGACCCATGAACTAAGAGGTCAGACTGTCCCCACCTCCAGGCTGGGCATTCACAGGTGGGAGGATGTCACTCTAAACATCAATTGGTCTGTCTGAGCTAATACATGCCCCATGCACCGACCCCCCCCCCCCCCCCCCCCCCCGCAGTTGATTGCCCCACAGAGGGAGGCCCAGGCCAGCCAAGCAATCGGACCCCACACTTGTTGCCTGCAGAGGGAGGCAACTGGTGGCATGGCCCCTTGGGGCCACGTCACCATTTCGAATAAAGCAATTAGAAATTTCCTCATTTGAAGAGAAGTTTTTCATCTGATAAGTGGTTAGTGAAAAAACTAAATTCTGAGATATACGCCCATTCCAATATGCAGTCTGAGGCCTTCCACGTCAAAATGCACGATGCTGTCACAATGCTCAAGCAGAAAACAGCCCCATCCCACTTCCTCTCCACGCGGGAGAGAAAGGCTGCAGGCAGGACGAACAACCGGCCCTGGCCCCTCGCCGGGGCGCACATATGCTGGGGCATCTGATTTGGACACAGCGCTCGAGTGGCCAAGGCAGCTTGAGCCTCCCCCTGGGCAGGTACCTCCCTAGGCTGCCCAGATCTCTAGGCTTCAGCACTGCACTTTGGAAGGTTCTAAGTGGACTGGGCTCACGTCCAAAGCTGTGTGTGAGCAAAACAGTGTCGCGGCACTGTGAGCAGGGCCCACGGGCTCATCCCCCCACAGCGCCTGCTGGAAGGAGTGTGCACGGGGTTAGCTTGTGTGCAAAGGCAGGTGCTCATGGCCACGCTGGAGGCGAGCAGCGCCGATGCACATATGTGAGCGTGTGCCGAGTTCCCCCGTCTGTAGGTGCGTGTGTGCACAGCATGGCGGTGCAGGCCCGATGCCTTCAGCTGGGAGCATATGCTGTGCGTGCGGGCTGGACCGAGTGTCCTCGGCAGCAGCCCAGGCCGAGGAGGTGGAGGCGGGAAGACTCGGGGCAGCACTGTAGTCACAGGGTATGGAGATGCCTGGAAAGGCCCCTGGCCTGACTGTGAGTTGGGGATGGGTCCTCTATAACAGAAACTGAGGTTACATGAGGTCACATGGGTGGGGCCCTCGTCAGAAGGGATTAGTGTCCTTATAAGAAGAGACACTGAGAACTCGCTCTCCCTCCTCACTGCGAAAGGCCACGGCAAAAAGGCGGCCGCCTGCAAAGAAGAGGGGAGCTCTCACCAGACACCCACCTGCTGGCACCTTGATGCTGGACTCCCAGCCTCCAGAGCTATGAGAAGTTAAATTTCTGCTGTTTTAAGCCTATTTTTTACGGCTATAGCCACCCACGGAGATGAATACACACCCGCCACCAGAAGAAACCCCGTGCTCATTAAGCAGTTACTCCCCATTCCCTTCCCCCCACCACCCCCAAACTCACAACCACCATTCTGTCTTACGAATTTGTCTGTCCTGGACATTTCACATAAATGGAATCATATAATATGCAACCTCTGTGTCTTGCTTCTTGCACTTCATCCACATAGTAGTATGGGTCAGTACTTCATTCATTTTTATGGCTGAATAATCCCATCCTATAGCCATATATCCAATGTGGACATAACGTAATTTATCTGTCCAGTCATCCCTTGATGGACATTTGGGCGATGTTGAAGCCCTAACCCCTAGAGTGACTGTGAGTTGGGGATGGGTCCTCCGTAACAGAAACTGAGGTTACATGAGGTCACATGGGTGGGGCCCTCGTCAGAAGGGATTAGTGTTCTTATAAGAAGAGACACTGAGAATTCGCTCTCTCCTCACTGCAAAAGGCCACAGCAAAAAGGTGGCTGCCTGCAAAGAAGAGGGGAACTCTCACAGACACCAACCTACTGGCACCTTGATGCTGGACTCCCAGCCTCCAGAGCTGTGATAAGTTAAATTTCTGCTGTTTAAGCCAGTTTTAAGCCTATTTTTTACTGTTACAGCAACCCACGGAGATGAATACACACCCTCCACCAGAAGAAACCCCGTACTCATTAAGCAGTTACTCCCCATTCCCTTTTTTCCCTAAACTCTGACAACCACCATTCTGTCTTACGAATTTGTCTGTCCTGGACATTTCACATAAATGGAATCATATGCAACCTCTGTGTCTTGCTTCTTGCACTTCATCCACATAGTAGTATGGGTCAGTACTTCATTCATTTTTATGGCTAAATAATCCCATCCTATATCCATATATCCAATGTGGACATAACTAATTTGTCCGTCCATTCATCCCTTGATGGACATTTGGGTTGTTGCTAACTTTTGGCTACTGTGAATTGGGTGCTATGGACATTCGTGTGCATGTATTTGTTTGAGTAGCTGCTTTCAGTTCTTTTGGGTCTAAGCCTGTGAGTGGAACTGCGGGGTCACAGTAATTCTAGGCTTAGTTTTCTGAGGCAGTGCAAGCTCTGTTTCTACAGTGGCTGCACAGTTACATTCCCACCTGCAGGCCCAAACGCTCTGTAACAAGGCAGAGCAGAGAAGGCGCCGTCTTCCTCCCACCAGGGATCCCTCTGTGGCTGGGAGTGTAGGCCGAGTCTCCCCAGCCCAGGTCCCACCCAAGGAGGTCTGGACTGTCGCAGCTGGAAGGGGAGAGGGGCCTGGGCCTCAGGCCCACAGGGGAGAATTCTAAACAAGCAGCCAGGTGCAGAATCCTCTCACACCCAGGTTCCTACCAGCCTTCCCTCAGAAAAGGGAAGCAGGTGCGGCATCTGGGGGCTGATGCCCAGCTACCAGGGGCCAGGGCCGAGGGGGTCCAGCATACGGCAGGAGGCCCTTGGCCACGAGAGAGAAAACAATGTGGAAGTGCTAGCCTTGAGCATGCATGCCCACACTTGGGTCACAGGTGCCCACCTTGAGCATGCATGCCCACACCTGGGTCATGGGTGCCCACCTTGAGCATGCATGCCCATACCTGGGTCACAGGTGCCCACCTTGAACATGCATGCCCAACCTGGGTCACGGGTGCCCACCTTGAGCATGCATGCCCACACCTGGGTCACGGGTGCCCACCTTGAGCATGCATGCCCACACCTGGGTCACGGGTGCCCACCTTGAGCATGCATGCCCACACCTGGGTCACGGGTGCCCACCTTGAGCATGCATGCCCCTCCCCAGCCCAGGTCCCACCCAAGGAGGTCTGGACTGTCGCAGCTGGAAGGGGAGAGGGGCCTGGGCCTCAGGCCCACAGGGGAGAATTCTAAACCAGCGGCCAGGTGCGGAATCCTCTCACACCCAGGTTCCTACCAGCCTGCCCTCAGGAAGGGAAGCAGGTGTGGCATCTGGGGGCTGATGCCCAGTTACCAGGGGCCAGGGCCGAGGGGGTCCAGCATATGGCAGGAGGACCTTGGCCACGAGAGAGAAAACAATGTGGAAGTGCTAGCCTTGAGCATGCATGCCCACACCTGGGTCACAGGTACCCACCATGAGCATGCATGCCCACTCCTGGAGTCATGGGTGCCCACCTTGAGCATACATGCCCACACCTGGAGTCATGGGTGCCCACCTTGAACATGCATGCCCACACCTGGGTCACCCACCTTGAACCATGAATGCCCACACCTGGGTCACGGGTGCCCACCTTGAGCATGCATGCCCACACCTGGGTCACCCACCTTGAACCATAAATGCCCACACCGGGGTCACGGGTGCCCACCTTGAGCATGCATGCCCACTGTGAGCCAGGCCTATGGAGACTTCCCCGCCAATGGGCCCATGGCAATAATCAGTGATCGGTGAAAAGGGACTCCCCCCCCCCAACCCCGAGTGTCTCCTCTTCCTCCCACTCCCATCGCTGTCCTCCCCACTCACCCTTCCTCCTGTGCGGCCAAGGAGTTCTGAGAGAGCTTAGCTAAGTTCTTCCATAAATGCCCACTGTGAGCCAGGCCTATGGAGACTTCCCCGCCAATGGGCCCATGGCAATAATCAGTGATCGGTGAAAAGGGACTCCCCCGCCCCAACCCCGAGTGTCTCCTCTTCCTCCCACTCCCATCGCTGTCCTCCCCACTCACCCTTCCTCCTGTGCGGCCAAGGAGTTCTGAGAGAGCTTAGCTAAGTTCTTCGCATATTCTTCTTCAATCTTTATCCTGCAAGAGGAGAAAACCCAACAGGTCAGCTCCCCAGTGCTAGTTGGTGGGTCCAACCTACAGCCCTGCTGCTTAATCACCGTGTAAGGAACCCACTAGACCATATGCTCGGAGAGTGCGTAGCTCTTGTCTGTCTGGCACACAGTAGGTGCTTAGTAAATTATCTGTTGAATGAATGAATGAATGCGCAAAATTGTCCGAACCTCCCTGTCTGCTCATCTGCAAAATGGGCTATTCCCAGCTGTCTACTGGGTTGTGAAGATGCAAAGCTGTCATCTGCACAGATCCTGACATGGGGCTGGACACATGGAGACCCTTAAACGGATGAATGTAACTCATGATGGACCACCGTGCTGGACGCCCAGTGCTGTCCTTCCCCTGCCAGCCCCAGAGTTCTGGGTTTAAATCTTCCAGGGTGGCACCGGCCCCTCAGAAGCAGAATAGAACTGCTCCCTATCATCTCCCAGCCCCCAATTCCTCTCACGGCCAGGCCTGCAGGGCACCCGTATTTCCATGGAGACCAGGCAGTGCCCAGAGCTGGCTGATTCCACTTCCCCAGAGAGGGAAGTCGCCTTGGACTTCGCTTCCAGCAGGCAGGCCCTTGACGCACTTTCAAGGCAACTCTCCAGGGAGCGTCCAGCACCTGCTTCTCAAGGGCCGTGAGGGTGTCCGCAGGGCGGCCTACCACATCCCAGGGCAGCATCAGAGTGATGGTGGTTTCATGGCTTGGTGCTGAGAGGCCCACAGCCTGCTCCTTCTCGCACTGCTTTGCTGCCAGCGCCACCTCTGGCTGGTCTCTGGGTCTCACCGCTCCCTCCCGATCACTCTGCTTGAGCCCCCAAGCTCCCAGGATGACGGGCCGGCCAGCCTGCGGCCCCCAGCCTGTGACCAAGAGATCGCTCTAGAAAGCAGATCAAACCACGTCACACTCCAGACGGCAATCTCCCGGGGCTCCCTGTGACATCCAGGCGCGAGGCCCGTCTGCTTCAGCACGTCACAGCCACAGTCACAGCCACAGCCACAGCCAGGGCCACCGCCACGCCTGCCAGCTTCCTACACTGAAGCCACAGCAAAGCCCCAGCCCTCGGCCCCTGGCCCGCACGCTCCCGCCTGGGCCTCGCTGCCCCTCTCCTGGCTCTGAGGCTCCCAACGCGACCCCAAGGTGGACGGAGAGAAACTGCGAGCCTCAGGAAAGACCAGGCGCTCAGATTGTAGGCTCAATTCATTTGCCAACACGACACCTTTATGACAGTATAAACCATAGTGTGCTCAAACTTCGGCTTTTACAGCCATTTTCCTACTCGCCTGTTTTATGCTGTTGTTTTCTTGCACCTGAGCTACGCAAGCTCTCAGTTCTCTGCCGGTTTAATGGGTCATAAAATAAAGATTTCATTAAACAAACAGAAAACGGGGCTCCGAAGGGAAAGAGGTGCTTTAAGATGCTACAGAATTATTACTCGATAGTTGTTGTTATAATTAAAAAATAAATAGTGTAAAAATAAATAAATAAATAAATAAATAGTGTAAATATATTGCCATTTACTAAATTATTTCCAGTGTATCTGGGAAACTCCAGATAGAAAGGTGTGTGTGTGTGTGAGCACACGTGTGTATGCGAGCACACATGCATGTGAGAGCATACGTGTATGTCTGAGCACACGTGCATGTGTGCAGGCACACGTGTGTGAGCACATGCAAACATGTGTGGGGGGTAAGGTGCATATGGTGGTGGGTGTGTGAGGTGTGTGGGTGTGTGAGGTGCACTTAACGGGGTTTCCGAACTTGGAGGGGATAGAAAAGAAACTTTGTCTTTTTATATCTTTTCATCTTTCCATCTGGGCCAATTCACTGTCTCCTCCCCTGTGTTCATCTGAACCACTATTATAACCCCTGCACTTCCTTTCCAAAAGCACCTCACCTGACTCTCCCAGTACACCGAGCTCCTGAGGCAGGGAGGGCGTGGGGAGGGGCGGTGGGTTTTGTAAGCCCAGGTCCAGGACACAGATTTGGTTCCAAGATTAACTGAAAGGTAACATTCTCCTTTTTCTCATGCTAAGGGACGGTGCTCCAAATGAGGGCCATGTAGGTAGAGGAGCCAAGCAGCCTGTGTGGGGACAGCAGGGAGTGGTGGAGACGATGGCGAGCTGGGAACACATGCTCCCCCTACAGAGGCTGCGGCCACTCAGCTCCAGCCAAATGCCACCTGAGGGATGCCGAGCCACCGCTGCCAGACTTCCTGCTTTCTCCAGAGATGCCAGATTTTAACTCACGATGGTCCATCATGAGTTACATTCATCCGTTTAAGGGTCTCCATGTGTCTAGCCCCGTGTCAGGATCTGTGCAGATGACAGCTTTGCATCTTTGTTTTACTATGGTTGCAAATATAAAAAAATTTCTATATGTGACACGGCACCAGAGTTAAGTTAGGGTTTTTCAAAATGCTGACACGCCGAGCTCAAAAGGTTCGCCATCACTGTTCTAGTTTCATGCCCCCCTTGGTGCTATCCAAGCCCAGTGCTGGGGGTGCAGGCTCATTCCTGCCACTCACTCCCCTCAGGCTAAGGGGCCGCCATAGGCACTGTCACCAGTGCCCTGAACTGGGGGTGGGGGGGTGGGGCTCACCTCTCCCGAATGAATTCCGACATTTCCTTCTGCATCTGCTTGCCCTTCAGTTGTTTCTGAAGCAGCAATTCAAACCCAGCCACGTTGCCGTTGCCCTGGGGGTCCTTCTTATCAGCCTAGAAAGGAAGCAGAAGCAGGAGCTTCAGTGATGGCCGGGCCAGAGGGTGGAGCACAGGGCAGACAGACCCAGAAGGGACCAGGACACCTGGGAACCCTGCCCGCAGCCCAAGAGGGAGGACAGGGGCGGCCTTGGCTGCCTGACCCATGCGTGTCTCCTGGTGCCCCGCCCCCACGGGCCTCTGACACGTGAGCCTCCCCCCCACCCCCGCCCCTCAACCTCCCAACCTGGAAAGCAGAGGAAGGGCAGGTGGCCGAGAGCACAGGCTCTGATCCCCAAGGGCCCATCCCTTCCAACCAGGGGCTGCCAGGCTGGCGGGCCCTCGGGGGAGTCCTGGCATCCTGACTCTAAGCTGCGACCGTCTGTGACCTTGGGGTCCTCTGTCCCTAACCCTACCCCATCCCATCTCCTGTCAGCTTCTTGCACTGGCCGGGCAGCGCCATCTTCCAATGCACATTCACGGAGGATCAGAGAGGCCTCTGAGAGAAGCTGGATTGGAGGAGGCCAGAGTGGACGAGGGCGGGCGCCCGGGCTGACATCAGCAGGGGGGTTGGGGGGGATCTCAGGAGCAAGTCTCCACCCACTCCAGCCTGAGCTGCTTCGCCTGGGATAAACCACACGTGGAAATGGCCGAGCACAGTGCTCAGCAGAGACTACGTACTCAGTGAATAGCAGCTACTACGAGCTCCTTTCAAGTAAAAGTCAGGACTCAGAAAAGATGGCAAGTCAATGAAATGGAAACTTAGTACCCAATTCATTTTGCAAGCCATTCTCTTAAAGTTTCAAAATTAGACGGTTTAGCTGTGTTTGGCCTGCACTTCCTCAAGGACACCTGCCCCTCCCTTTCCTGC